CATGGTATTTCGTGTTAATCTCATAATTCCGACTTTTGATCCCAAAGTTCAGACGTTTCATCTCGTACATTTTCTGACTATTTATCTCCTCGTCTGGACTTTTGAACTCACAGATGTTCTGCTGATGGTTCTGAGGTTTTTCAGTGTTTTAGATTTTGGACTTTTTAATCTCAGAATTTGTGTTTGTCTGAACTTTGACTTTTTAAAATCTCATTCTGACTTTTGAACTTTTTATTTTCTCTGTAAACGTAAATCAGGAGGAAGAACTTCACAGAACAGATCAGCAGCAGTCAGAACCAGAACTTCTGTGTTTCCTCATCAAACTGGGATCAAAGTTCAACCTTGAAGCAGATTCACAGCTTCGTGTTCTCGGTTTCATTTTCCTCTGATGCACGGCGACGCAGTCAGAACCAACAGAACCTTCAACGGAACAAACACGCCCAGGAAGAATCCTGGACTTCCCTTCAGCTGCAGGACAACGGCGCCTCCGTGTGGACGCATCGAGTCACTGCAGCTTCACAACAACTGTCCTTCTTTTACTCTTTATTTACATGAAAACCTCAGTGAAGCTGAAATAACTGAAATAGCAGCTGAAGTTTCTTCTGTATTGGATTTGATTCACTGATTAAGAAGCTTCTGTGTGAATCTGGTTTCAATGTGAGTTTGATTAAAATCCCATTTTATTATTATTCACATATTTTATGTTCATGTTCCGTCACCTGAACGAGTGTTCAGTTACTAATAAAGTGTAAAAAGCAAACGCGGTTTATTCACACGACTGCAGCGTTTTCATGTTTTCATAAAAACTAAAAAGTTCAATATTATTGTAGATTAAACAGAGAAACTCGAGAGACGTCACTGATCTTCACCTTTAATCACACAAACATCAGATCTTCATCAATAAATTAAACCTCATTAAAAAAGTCAAATGAAAATGAACATTTAATCTTCAGAACCACTAAACAAACTGCTACAAACAGAAAATAGAAAAACTGTTTTCAATCTACTCAAAGAAGAACAAAGTTTGTAAAAGTAAAACATTAAAGATAAATGAAGGTTTGTTCTCTTAAACCTGCAGAACTTCCAGTTTATAGACAGTAAAACTTTATTTATTGCAGTTTGTTCAACAGTCGGTGATCAGAAAGTAAAAAACTTCTGGAGGATCTTTAAGTTTTTATCTGTCAGCTGGAAAATAAAACTGAAGCGAGTCAAAGTGTCTGGTCTCACGTTAAACCTTCATCAACAGAAACCTGATCAAACTTCGTCACGTTCAACCTTTAAACATTTAATCATTTTATTTACAGACACACGAGGAGGAAGCAGCTCTTATTCTGAAAGTCCATTAAATTCACCGAAACAAAGTCGCACCTCAACTGGAAATAGGACAACTTCTAATAACTTGTTTAACTGTAAACTAAATGTTAGAATTCATCCTACATCCACCCAACCGGTGGAGGCAGATGGCCGTCCCTCCCTGAGCCTGGTTCTGTCCGAGGTTTTTGTTTTTGGTTCCGTCCCACCAGCAGACTGCTGAAGCTCATAGAGAATCCAGATGTTTGGATTGTTGGGTGTTTCTGTCTTTGTGAAGCGCTATGAGATGACTGTTGTTGTAAATATGCGCTATACAAATAAAACTGAATTGAAATTGAAATAAAACGAATCAGAGAGTTTCTGTGTTTTGTATTACTGAATCCTGCAGGTGGAGTCAAACACTACAACACCCATAATCCTCTGCTGCTGTAGGGTGGCAGAGCACAACACCATCCCTTAAACCCTCCCCCTCAAGTGTTCCCTCCTCTTGGCTCCTCCCCCTTAGGTGCGCCTCCTCTTGGCTCCTCCTGGACTAGCAGGGTTGGAGGAGGACAGCAGCTTGTCGGCGGCTCTGCTCCTCTTCCTCTTCTCCGCCTCCTTCCCTCCTCCATCGCTGCTGCCTTTTTCTTTGTCTCGTTCTCGCTCTTTTTCTCGGCTGCTGCTGCTTCGTTCAGACATTTTCACGGACGAGTTGCTGCCTGAAGAGAAGAAACAGGAATCACGAACAGCTGAAGGAAACATGTAGCTCTGAGCTAACAGTGCTAGGCTAACGCTAACACTTATGGCTAACCGTAGCAGCGTAACATGATTTGAAGGCGGACTAACTTTAACTCTGTTCTAACTGACAGACTCGTCTCTCTGCAAAGAGAAAAAAACTGGACAAGAAACACAAACATCAACACAAATCAGGACATTAGCTGCTTTCTCAGTGGCTAATGCTATGCTAACGGCTAGCGAAGTTAGCAGGCAGCCACAGAATAACCTGAAACAGAGTCTGAGGCAGATGTACCTTCTTCATGTGTCGCTGGAGGTTCTCTCTCCATCCTGAACTCCTCTTTGGTCTCCTCCTCTGAGCCCAACTTCCCTAAAACACAACGACACCTGTTTAACCACAACAGACCTTCACTCTACTCACAGGGATTTACCAAAAACACTCATGTCAAAGACAAAACAGATTTCTACAAACTAATTCCTGGACAAAGCTA